TAAATAAATTGATCGGAGCACTCCTAATAAAAATTATATAAAAATAATCATGAAATTATCAGATCAGTTGTATAAGAAATAAAATCAGCAATAAAATGTAAAAAAAAAAAATTATATATATATATATATATATTAAAAATAAATAGATGCAGATATTTTGTCAATAGTCTGATATATATATATATATATTGATATGATTTTAATATCATATACTGTATATAAATATGTGAAAACTAGGTATAATAGGTGTAATAAGTGGTTTGCTGCTGGATTACAGCAGACACAGAGACTGATTGATCAGCACAATCGGCTCTCGCTCTTTCTCTCTTGTTCCCTAAAAGGCGCTTGGAGCCACAACAACACACACGAAGGGCTCGCACTCTACACTCTGTGTTTTGTGTACCATATTGCAGCTTTTCATAAACTTTTCCCACCTTTTCTGACCCTGTTTAATTAAATGTGTTGTTTCGGTGCCGTACTGTAAATGTGTAACTACTCTGCTTCACTTCATGGAGAGGCGAGATGATAAATTAAGAAGAAACGTCCCAACTTCACCTCCGCATTCACCCCAAACTCACAACAAAAACACATATGTTTTGCATAAAGAAAATGATGATCTTTTTGGACCTTTTAGGATTGTTTTCATGACCATTAGACACATTGTGATTTTCGTAGTGCCATATTATTTTTGTTTTTGCATTTCATGAACTCATTAAGACATTTCAGAGCAAATATAAAGCTAAAACTAAAACTAAATATAAATAATAATAATAAATGGTCCAGATGTTCTGGATATTTCATGAAGTCATCAAGATATTTCAGAGAAAATGTTGAAATATTGAGAAACATAGCAAATGTTGTGAGTAGACTGGTATTTATTTATCGTCAATAGACACTTAATTAATTAATACATTTTTATGTATATACTTTAATTTATTTTAATAATAAAAAAAATCTGGATGCTTCTGGATGTTTCATGAAGTCATGAAGATATTTCAAAGCAAATAGTGAAATATTGAGAAACAGCTATTAATATATACAGTGGGTACGGAAAGTATTCAGACCCCCTTAAAATTAATATATATATATATATATATATATATAATTTATATTTAATTCATTTTAATAATAATAAAAGTTTTCAGTGGACATCATTATTTAAATAAATACATTATTTATTTATTTATTTTAATATTATTAAATAATTCTCTGGATGCTTCTGGATGATTTAATATCTGAAGGTTGCAGTATATAATTTTTTTTTTATTCTTCAGCCTCATGAAAAGTCTTGTTTCCCATCGTAAACCTTTAATATCTTGTTGAAGAGCCGTTCATTAGTGCTGAAGCAGACGAGAGATCGTTAAGTGTTTTCCAACCCGCTTCCAGCCTTTATAATGAGATGTTTGACAGCAGACGAGATCAATCACAGAGTCAGACGCTGAAGCTGTGTCCCAAATGACGCACTATACACTATGTACCTATGCACTATGTACCTATGCACTATGTACTCAATCATGTAGAGTATGAATTATATAAGGTTATTTTGTCATTCGTAATCAGAGTCTCATAGCTCCTCCCCCTTCGGTACGTAATTAAAGCTGTGACAGTTGAGTGCATGAAGTGTCCAACATTCCACACTTCATTTTTCCTGTTATTTAAGTGCATCATCCGGGTATTTAAAGTGCACTTTTTCTTTTTGGAATTTTCAGTGTGAACGCACTACTCGCACTATTTATATACTACAAAATGTTATAGAATAGTGCATAAGTACGCGATTTGGGACGCACCTTGAGTGTTTTTGAGTGTCTCGTTTGTGTCTGGTTCTCTCAGACAGGAGTGTGTGGCCACCGAGGACAACCCTCAGGTGTTCTTCTGCTGCTGCGAAGGCGACTTCTGCAACGAGAGGTTCACGCACCTGCCTGACGTCAGCGGACCAGGTGAGAGATCCTCAGACTTCATTTTTGTCATTTTAAAATGTGTATTTATTTTTTTATTTTTTATTTTAATGCATTAGTTTAATTATCTTTTTTATTTTTAGTGGATTTACTTATTTTCTATTTGTTTTATGTATCATTTTAATATATTTATTGTTTTATGTTTTATTATTTTTACATTTATTTTTGGTTTATTTTATTGATAATTTATTTTTTATTAACTTATTTTATTTATTTTTATAGGTTTATAGTCATTCATTTTTGTCATTTTAAAATGTGTATTTATTGATTTATTTTTTAAATTAATGTATGTATTTATTGGTGTATTTATTCGCTCACTAAATCAGATTTCAGAGTGAGAGCTGTTTGTTTTCTAACGGATCGTGTGACAGAAGGATGTTGTTCTTGTCTCTGGTTGGTCAGTGATCGAGCCTCCTCCACCGGCGCTGCTCAATGTTCTGGTTTACTCTCTGCTTCCCGTCACGATGCTCTCCGTGGCGCTGCTGCTGGGCTTCTGGATGTACCGGCACCGCAAGCCTCCTTACGGACACGTGGACATCAACGAGGTCCGTCCCTTCGCTGTCTGTTTCTCACACACGTCTCCCAGGATTCCCCGCAGGCCTTTACTTCCAGCTCTGTGTCGTTCTGTGGCTCCACCTAGTGGTGCTTCTGACAGCGTTCTGTGCTGTGTTTCCAGGATCCGGGTGCGTCTCCTCCCTCGCCGCTGCTGGGTCTGAAGCCTCTGCAGCTGCTGGAGGTTAAAGCTCGAGGACGCTTCGGCTGCGTCTGGAAAGCTCAGATGATGAATGAATATGTAGCTGTGAAGATCTTTCCAATTCAGGTGCACAATTATTTCCTTTGCACAAACGTTCATGTTGTGTCTGCGGGAAACTCTTACTGTGATGACAAATGCATTAACTGCGTGTTTATATATATAAATATTATATATATAATTTACCATATATAATTTACCATATTCAGGTTCATATATATATATATATATATATACA